TACAGCACCTTGTGAATATATTTCTGTAAAGACGCTTTATAAATAAAACTTTACTTACTTACTTACTTACTTACTTACTTACTTACTTACTTACTTACTTACTTACTTACTAATGTGAACAAAAACCAAATTAAGAAATGGTTTGATTTTTAAGTTCTTTCTTAAGCATCAGCACCTTCTTCAAAGTTTTAGAAAACACAGGTAGGATGCTTATTGACCTGTAATTACATGCCAGATCTGGTGCCCCAGATTTGAAAATGGGCATAACTCAAACCACCTTCCATTTACTGGGAAAAATTCAACTTGTAAAGGTCAAATTAATCAGATGAGTAAGTGGCCTTGCAGAAAATATCTGTATATTTTCTCAACAAGTTAGCATTTATTTGAAAAAGATCATTTGAATGGCTGTTTGCATTTTTGTCGATGATGGAAAATAACCTCTGTCTGATTTTGAAGCAAAGAAAAAGCTGTGGTGCGACGAGTCTTGGCTGAGCAAAGTTTAAAAAAAAAATCTTGTTTGATCAATTAGCACTCAGATTATGTTTAGGACCATCTCTCAGCTACTACCACACTAAATTGTGACACAAATATTGATTTTAAAATGTAATTCAACATTTTATACAGCTAGCTACTACAGATATAGCATAGTTTTAGTTGGATGTGTTTTTTGTCACGCTGCCAACCTTCAAAATGCAAAGTAAATGAATAAAACCACGCACGCACGCACACACACACACACATACACACACACATACATCCTTGTATTTTTATCAAACTGAGGACATTGGATTGACTTCCATTTTTTTAACTATGTATGCCTAACCCAGACATTTTCCCTAAAATTAATCATTACTGGTCTATAGTTAACACTAACCTGAACCAAAACTTAATTCACATCATACCTCTAAACCTAACCAGGGCCTGAAATTCGCTGCGGGATTGCAGGTATTGCGCATATTATGATCGATTCCCGTAAATCTTGTTTTTATAATGCGGGAAATTCCCGCATACAATAAATTCCAGAAATGTGTGATAATGTGGATGTTTGCATTGGACTATTTTTAGATGAGAGCCTGTACGTATAAAACTAATCACCTCGGTTCGTTCAGAAGGCACACTGAGCGGAGGCATAGGCAGAGAGAGAGAAAGGGAAGGAGGAGAGGGGCTCAGACTCCCCTACCTCTATAACGCAGAGCGAGGTAGTGACAGACCCGCGACAGACTTGTCAAGGTCTTTGAGACTTTACCTGTAGATCCCAAAAACAACTTAAAACATCTGTGTTTTAACAAAATACCCAAAAAAATGGCAACAGAAGCTGCTCCAGCCGCAACTCTTGCTAAAAACTCAGAATTTCCTCCTCCAGCCCACAGCGCTCTGCTGTCTCCTCACTGTCCCACAGACACACACACACACACACACATTTGTTCTTCTATCCTCGTGGGGACTTTGCATTGACTCATCTATTTACCAGTGTTTTGTATAGCTTATCTGACCCTAAACCCAGCCTAAACTTTATTCACCCCATGATGTGGACCGGGCTTTTGTCTCCATAAGAAACAGTGGGTCCTCATCAGCCTGTCTGTATCGGGGAAATGGTCACACATCGTCCCTATCGGGTAGCAAAAGCCTGTACACACACACACACACACACACACACACACACACACACACAC